ATGCTGAATGATGCTGAATTAAGGTCAATTTTAGGCTGATTTATGGTTGAATTTAATCTGAATGGCTATGTCCGATTAGAGTCGATCAGCGTCTATCGACGTCTGAATTATTGCTGAATTGAGGCCAGTTTTAGGCTGATTTATGGTTGAATTTAAGTTCTGAATGGCCATGTCCGATTGGGGTCAATTGGCGTCTATCAGCACCTGTTTGTGCCGATCAGAAAATATGGCAAATCAGCCATAAATAGTATCAAAATCAGCCTAAAATTGGCCATCTGATTTTTAGCCAATTTGGACTATTTCGACTAGTGCTAAAAACTTGTAGCAATGTGTTATTATCACCTTTGATGATAAAGCTAAATTCAAACTTCTTCAAGCGACTGACAGATTGCTTATTATCAATGACTCTGTTCATATTCATATGTGTGACCAGAACTGAAAAGAAATTTAAGATTATTCCAAATTCTCAAAAAACTAACTAATTTTTTACGAGGAACCACAGCACGTGACCTCCTCGATATCAGTAAAATGGTCGACACTACAGCTTGGATTATTTCACGGACTAGATCAAACTATAATAATTGTAACATGCATACTTCTATTTTTGTAATACTGATGAAGCGGATGCTACAATTGTGACTGACAAACTTACGCTTAACAATAAAAAACTCAAATGGACTGACACAAAAACTAAACTATATGCCATTGCTCTTTATCACACTATAACGCGTTTTCATATTCTAGTAAATGAAATGTTTCAAAAGACAAAAATATTCAATACTTATATTAAAGGTTTTAACTAGCTCAATTTAATAGATATACTGTACCTAAGAAACCTCGTGATGCTATTAGAGATAACATCACATTTGCTGACGCTGCTAATTCTTTAAACTTTAACATCAGACGCTCGCAAACTCAAAACAAATGACCTCCTCCCTTCTCCACTACCAAAGAAGCCTAGTATCACCAGTAAAGTTACTAACAAACCATCTGTTTTAAGATGGGATGATAAACCAATGAATGATGATACTATTTTCGACAATGCAGTATGTTCTACTTCAAATATTAAAAATGAAACAGCAGCGGATGAATCAATGCATGACTCTGATTTTAAGAAATTTATCACATCTCAACTTGAATCCATTTCTAGTACTCTTGGTGACCTTTGTTTCACCTTTAAATTTTCGCAATCTCACCTTAAAGTGGTTAAAAGGCATTTAACATTAAAGTTATAACCCCTCAAGAAACTGAATCGTTTAACAATACACTCTCAAATAATGCTACTGAAGTAGACATGAAATCTTTGTTTATTGATATATCTCTCTGTACTACTTACTTACAGACTAAAACCAATGAACAACTCATTACTATATGCCAAAAACAACAACAAAGAATCTTTGAATTCACTTCAACAATTAACAAGTTGCTCAAAACTTGTTAAGACTTCTAAACTGTGCTCATTAACAAAAATCTCATCAGCTAATATGACACACAAGTTTTTGACCCCTTGAATGAAGAATTTGATAAAATAATAGAACGCTGCATCAGCAGCCTTCCACAATAATTATAACATATATTATGAATACTGTCCCTACTTAAAGTTTAATAGAACCTAATAATATTTCCCACCCTTTTAAAACAAAAAAATTTTCCATAATCTCATACAATGTTAGAGGATTTAATGAGCCTACCAAACAAAACATCCTTTTTTCACTTTACGAAATATATCATTTTGATATATTGGTCCTATAAAAAACAAATTTTAAACACAACAACACTTCAATTTTTAATCGATCATTTTCAAATTTTTTCACAATTTTTAGTAAAAACTGTGATATCAGTCTTGTGGATTTGGAGTCAGCTTATCTTTTAGTTCTCAATTCTCCAAATACATTTTTCTACACGAATCTAAACTCGATAAAATCATTTATACAAAGTTACAATTCCCTGACAAACAAAAACTTCTTGTTATTAATACATACGTTCTCTTACAGTAGCGGTCATAAGTATCCGACTGTCTCTAACTCTGGCTACAAGTAAGTAAATTCAAAATTTTTTTTTTATTTAAAAAATACATAACCAACTAACTAAAATT